AAGGTTCCGCTTACCTATAGTTTCTGGCGCGCTCGTTGATGTGTGGGACTGTTCACAATTGCGACTGAAACCAGGGGGTCACACTGTCATCAGGGAAACCAGTCAGATCAGGACCGCATATCGAATTTCCAGCTCAGCTTGGCACAGGATTACCACTGTTGGTCCGGGACCATTGCTCGGGAAAATGGACTGGTCGTCTGAAGAGTTCAGCTGGCTCACAGGTCTAACGGCACCAAGTTGTAGTATTATGGCTCTTATTACCATTGCTAACTCTGAGAGATGAGACAGTCCAAGTAACTTCAAAACAGTGCTGATTTATTCAAAGGATCACACGTAAAATTAACATTACACGCTCAGGTATCTTGCACCTCCAAACTGCTCGCAGGCAGATGAAAGATGAAAGACCCTGAACCCACAAGGCCTATACATTATTTCCCCTCGGTTGGGCTAGCCCCATACTACAAATGTCAGGAAATGACATTTGTAGAAATGTCAACCGCGACGTCTCTGTTACCAGCTTTGCAGCTGGCCATAACAGTAGTCAAAACATGAAGCAAATCAATGTGCATGTGTGTGTGTCTGTTGATTAAGTGGTGTGTAGCTAAAAACATTCTCACGACCTCTAGTACATGTTGTGACTTAAACATGAGAACATATTATGGCTAAGGCTACAGTTATACACGTCGTAATAATAATATTAAACACCCTGTCTGCAGACAGTCATCAACTCTTCTCTCTAGTTATCCTTGACCAGATGTACCCTGTAGAAACTCATAAGCATGACTAAGCATTTAACAGTCTATCTAGACATCCTATCTCCACTAAACATTTCTAATACATAAAGTATCTATCCAATTTCTATCTGACTAAAAATACCTAACAGAGGTGTTCTAAGACATCTGACCGGTAAGCAGATTTAAACTTTGTCAAGGACCAGAAACTCAACTTTATTTGATAAATAGAGAATCAGTGGTGTTTTTCTTACTGTACCTTTGCAGAGCATGAGGATTCCCAGTAGTCCCAGAGGTTTTTGGGGACACATCCTTCCTGCAACCACAGAGATGCACAGGGAATGGCCGAGGTAAATAGACAGACTGAACTCTCGATGCAGAGTGAAGGATGGACTGATCGAGAGAGGGACTATAGTGCAAGAGAGGGAGGGGAAGGGCCTTCAAGATGTGTTGAAGTAAGACACTACATTTGCACGAGACAGAATCTTCCTTTATTTCAGTTTGCTGATATTGTTCCAGCTGGTCGGTGTCGTCCATCTCTGATCCTCCCTGCCAGTCACAGAAAAAGAAGAAGCAAAAGTATAAAGGAAATAATATGCACAATCTAGTGTTTTCTTAAGTAATGCTTCATTTAGTTGCAGTATCTTAAATTTTTTTAAAAAGTTCAAAATGCTTTCACTTTCTTGCACAGATGAGAAGATCAGTAAACCTCAGTGTGTTAAATATGAGGATAGATCCAGCAGCTGTTAGCTTAGCATAGCTTGGTCTTAATCAGGTGTGAACAGCTAGCCTGGTTCTGCCCACAGTTCATAAAATCTACACCTTTAAATGTCAGTAAAGTGATGATGCAGGGGGCTCATTCTGCACACCAGGTGGGATTTACAGGTGAGCAGGTAAAAGGTAACTGAAAGGTCACAATATTCCAGCCTGTTAAAGAGCTTATGTTTCAGCTGGTAAAGAGGAGCTAGTTTTAACTGGCTTATATACTTTTACTTTGAAGTACTGCTGGGTGCTTGTGAATTTTCCACCAATGATCAATGATCTTACAATTATACTGAATGTTTATATTAATTTGGTCATGAAAAGTAACTAAAGTTATAAAATAAATGTATTGGAGTAAAAAGTACAATATTTCCCTCTAAAATGTAGTGAAGTATGAAGTAACAGAAAGTGAAAATACTCAAGTAAAGTACAGAGACCGCAACATTGTAATTAAGTACAGTACTTGAGTAAATGTACTTAGTTACTTCCCACCACTGTTATGTGTAGATGAATTGGCTCTTGCTCAGTCACTCTCTCTCACTCACACACACACACACACACGCACACTTCCTGTGAAACAAGTCAGTGGTTTTGTTCTGTCTGTTTTTTCCAGTGTTATCTGCTGGCCTCTTTAGTTTCACCCTCTCTGCTGCAGACTCACTAGACCTCAGGTGATAATCTCACCCTTAGCACCCAGGACTGGATCTCTACAGCACATCTATCAACTCTTAGTGGGAGCGCACGGTCGCCGTTCTCACGAATGAACCAGTGAGGAAGTAGAAGCAGGAGAAACGTGCCTGGTGTGGTGGATGTCTGTGCGTGGCGGTGTCTCCTCACCATGGCAGCAGCTCTGCCGGCGTGCTACCACGGCAGCATCAGCAGGCAGGAGTGTGAGACTCTGCTGGGACAGAAGAACAAGGATGGAGCCTACCTGATTCGGAACAGCGAGACCATCCAGGGAGCCATGTGTCTGTGTGTCTAGTGAGTTCTCTGCACTCTGTACTGGCCAGGGCTCGGCTCCTATGAGGCAGACTTCACTTTATCTAAAGCCTTTAGTCAGTCATGTAACTATTAATATTACTACTGGAATTGGTATTATAAGTATTCATGTTGTACACTGTCCAGTTTTACTAGATATTCAGTCAGTTTGTTAAAAATCTGAACATCAATAGAGAGATATTTGTTTTTGAGAACATTTGTTCATTGATTGAGTTGTAGGAACCATATGCTAAGAAGCAATAAAAAAAAAATTGATATTCAACTACAGTGCCTTGTGAAAGTATTCGGCCCCCTTGAACTTTGCGACCTTTTGCCACATTTCAGGCTTCAAGCAAAATCTACATTGGAATGGTTCACAAATAAACATATCCAGGTGTTAGAATGGCCAAGTCAAAGTCCAGACCTGAATCCAATCGAGAATCTGTGGGAAGAACTGAAAACTGCTGTTCACAAACGCTCTCTATCCAACCTCACTGAGCTCGAGCTGTTTTGCAAGGCGGAATGGGCAAAAATTTCAGTCTCTTGATGTGCAAAACTGATAGAGACATACCCCAAGCGACTTACAGCTGTAATCGCAGCAAAAGGTGGCGCTACAAAGTATTAACTTAAGGGGGCTGAATAAATTTGCATGCCCGATTTTTCAGTTTTTTATTTGTTAAAAACGTTTGAAATATCCAATAAATTTCGTTCCACTTCATGATTGTGTCCCACTTGTTGTTGATTCTTCACAAAAAATTACAGTTTTATATCTTTATGTTTGAAGCCTGAAATGTGGCAAAAGGTCGCAAAGTTCAAGGGGGCCGAATACTTTCGCAAGGCACTGTATTTATGTACGTCAAAGATCTATGTTCACTGATGTCCATTAGAAAGGTTTTATTGAGAAGGGGTTTCTATAAATGCTATCTCAAAAACAGAGCCTACGTAATAAAACTGTTTTTTAAGAACAGTTCCAATTTTCATTTCAGTTAAAGCATGTACTTGCTTTAACTTTGTTCATATTTCTAAAGTTTAATGTAATTTGTGAACATGGTCATGGCATAGTCAAATACAAAACATACAGTATATTATACAAGTACAAACTGTATAGCAACAGATTTCTTTAGTCAAAGCTGGTTTAGAGAAACAGTCTTAGACACTTTATGCACGTCATTGCTACACTCTAAAAACAAATTGCTGAGAAAATGCAAATTATCAAGGCAACATGATGCAATAGAGCTTTGAGTTTTTCCAACTTTTGACTACTTTTGTTGGCAAGGTTTACAAGTTTAGACAAGAATTCTGGCAACTTTAATCTTCTTGCTCACCTAATTATATTCCTGTGAGGCTGACAATGAAATTCCTGTTTCAATGCCATGCATTTCTACTTTCAACAAACACAGATATTCTGTCTGAATAAACACAATTCTTGCTTCAGTGAGCTAAAAGTTTTCCCTTGGGAAATTGTGTGTTTATCCAACAAGAGCATCTTTGTTTGTCAAATGATGATAATCACTTAATTTGGCCAAGTATGTTACACAAAAGGAACTTTTCTCCGGTACAGAATCGAGGCCACCGTCTGTGGCACCAACTCAAACATACAAGGTTCTGGCCATTGGGGGCAACTTGGAGTTTAGTGTCTTTGACTGCAGACACCTTGAACCGAACCACTGACCTCCCTGGTGGGAGACAACTACTCTACCCCTGAGCCACAGCCTCCTAAATAAGAAATGTGTGGCACTGAAACAGGAACTTCATTGTCAGCCTCACAGGAATATAACTAGGTGAACAAAAGGAATCAAGTTGCCAGAACTCTTGTCTAAATTTGTAGATCTTAGTTAAGTCAACAAAAGTAGTCAAAAGTTGACAAAACTAAAAAATGTATGGTATCATGGTGCCTTGGTATTTTCTTTTCTCACCAGTTTGTTTTTACAGTGTATGCTTACAAATTCTTATGGTTTCATAAGGTTCCACTGTGGTTGGTTGCCGCCTCTTCCTCTTAGCAATTTTCCTTTACATGTGCAAAACAAATTATTATGCACCTTTAATTTGTGTTACTTATTTATCTACTTTATATTTCATATGTCTAATGTGACATTCATGTGGACGACAAAGTAAGAATTTCTTTGTACAGGGAAACACGTTTCCTAACTGTGCATATGACAAATAAACACTTGGAACCTTGAACCTTGAACCTAATTAGAACATACAGAAAAATATTTTTTCACAGTAATATGTGTTTTCCCTTCAGGTGTTTGTGACTAAGGAATATTCAAACTGTGCAAGTGGGTCATGTGATTAGCTATTGTTTGCAGTGGTTTCTAGAACTCATCAGCATGATGTTTTTTTCTTTTTTCTTGTGCAAGCAGCTCAGCACAGATGTAATCGTCCATGACTGCCAGGAATATTTCTTATTTTAATGATTGTTAAATTTCTGAGAAATCACTTATCAACAACATGCAACTTGTTTGTGTTTGCAGTAAACAGAGGGTGGTGTATACCTACAGACTGCTTCAGTCGCACTCCGGACACTATACACTTGTGGTAAAAACACACACACACACACAGATTACATAAACATTCATTTCAGAATTTCAGACACACTAAAGCCCACATCCCTCTAATGCACGTGGAAATAAGGAAGTCTGGATTATTGCGGAAAATAAGCTCTGTGACAAACTACAGTTTATTTCTATTGTTAGGCTGTAAACGAACTCCACCACGGTCTCATTACTTCAGTGTCACCACCACAGCTTCCAGCATGTAATTCCATTTATAGCGCTCACCTCTTCTACAAAATCCTTTCCTCTAAGCGTGACCTGATCTAGCTAGTGATCAAGACCGAGTTGGTTCGTTAGGACAGTTTGTGTGGGTTTAAAGATAATGAGACTGTAAAGGCGGACTAGTGAGGAGATGGTGAACATCCCAGATGAAAGATATCACCCAGTTCTTCTAACCAGGAACTCCGAGAGACGAGGCAGACCACTTGGATATATAAAAAATAACCGTGCTGGTTTATTCAAAGGATCACAGGCAAAATTAACATTACATGTCCAGGCATCTTCCACCCCCAAACCCGCGCGCAGGCAGCATGGAGGATAAAAGACCCTGAACCCTCATGCCTATACAATTTTTATCCCTTGGTTAGGCTAGCCCATGCTACACAGGAACGTCAACCATGACGTCACCTGATATGCCAGCTTCACAGCTGGCCATAACAATAGTCAAAACATGAAGAAACTCAATGTGTGTGATCGTTGATTTCATGGTGTGTATCTAAAACAATTTGACATAACATTACACATTAAGACAAATATTATGGTTACTTTTACCGTCATAATAACATTTGCCCCTGACTTGAGCCCTTCTGCCTTAACCAACCTTGCATTTAACATCCTGAGGAGACATCCTGGCTACACTAAACATCTTCTAATACAACAGATCTCTAATCCATATCTATCTAACTAAGAAATTACCTAACAAAGACAACCTCTGAAGTCTCTCTTAGCCACTTCTTAGGAACTGACTTTTTAAAGACACATAAAGCATTAAAATCAGGAGTGGTGTTAGGTAATTTCTTAGTTAGATAGATATGGATTAGAGATCTGTTGTATTAGAAGATGTTTAGTGTAGCCAGGATGTCTCCTCAGGATGTTAAATGCAAGGTTGGTTAAGGCAGAAGGGCTCAAGTCAGGGACAAATGTTATTATGACGGTAAAAGTAACCATAATATTTGTCTTAATGTGTAATGTTATGTCAAATTGTTTTAGATACACACCACGAAAACAACAGCCACACACATTATTTTCTTCATGTTTTGTCTACTGCTCTGCTCAGCTGCCAAGCTGGCATATCAGGTGACGTCACGGTTCGACAGCCCAGAAAGAATTAATATTGTATAGCAATGCTTAGTTCGGGGTCTTGCTGCTTCCGGGCTGCTCGGGCAGCCTGGGGGTTGGAAGATCTCTGGACTTGAATTGTTAATGCTTGCCTGTGACTCTTTGAATAAACCAGCACGGTTATATTTTTTATATACTCAAGTGGTCTGAGTCGTCCCTCGGAGTTCCTGGTTTGAAAGAACCGGATGAGGCTTTATAATGGTTTTCAGCCTTTAGTGGGGTATTTACTGATGCATTTTATTTTGTAGAACAAAATGTGAAAAGGTATTGGCCTTACACAGGTCTTATTCCAGGGTGTACCTAAAAACCCAGCTGACTTCAGGGTGAGGAAAGTGGGTGGTAAAATGTTAACTGAGTTCTGTGATTTAGGATTAGCGTAATAATAGCATTGTTTTTAACAATCCCCATACAGAGACTAAAATCAACAATGAATTGCCTCTACACATGGAAAGAGCAGACCAGACATGTTCATCCTATTTCTAGCAAAACATTATGGCCTCAACCATCGTATATATGATAGACTTTTCTATACTAGTTGTACAGTATGTGTTCTCCCATGTCTCTACACTTACCAAAATCATTCAACCCACATATAGTTTCGAAACTTTTCAGTGTGACAAACACAGAAATGATTTCCTTCCTCCTATTTAAAGCTATTTAGATAACATCACTAGCCAGACAGTCTGAGTATCTTTAAAGGAACATTTCACCCCCAAAATGAAAACTCACTAGCTACCAGCTCACACTCAAGCCACAGGAAACTCAGACTTACCACAAACTTTGTATCGCACTGAGATGGTCACTTCCTACACACACTCTTTTATACTGTTTGTTGTTCCTCCTTTCATGAAGGTGATAATCTTCAGCTTTTGTGAGAACAGAGAAGTGTTGATTTGTGAAATTTGTTTTTAAAATTACATTTTCTCTTTTCACTAAAGAAAAATTTTGACTGTAATTCTTTGAAAGTTAGAGAAAGAATCTTGCGTTTTTTTTAATTATTTAAAAAATTTAATGTACCCTCCCTGATGTCTTTCCAGTCTGGAGGCTCCAGTGAGTTTCAAATCAAACTGACACCATCAGCCCCTCCTAACCGCTCTCTGCCCCTCCCATCACCTGTTTCCTTGTGACAACATAAACTACAGGTGCCTGGCTGAGACAAACTGTACATACTGCAGCCTCCAGTCTGAAGCTAGCCTTAGCTGGCTAACAGTAAACGTGTCAGTCCAGTAGAACACTCTGGTTACTGCTCATGTGATACAAAGCTCCATTTCCTCCTAAATTAAAATCATTTAAATTCAACAAAAAGGTAAAATCCTGACCATGCTAGGTTGCTAATGCTACCAAAACAAACAGGTTAGCTTTAGATGCTAACACATCCAGAAGGAAGAACACCACATCTGAATCCAGTCTGAGTCCTCTGGCTGCTTTTAACCCTCTCTATGTCAAATAGCCAACCCATGTTAAACCTGGTTGTTGCTCTTTCTTTGTCGCACTCTCTCTGTGCAAGATGCCACCTCTTAACTCTGGCAGCCAGAGCTCCTCCACGGCTGTTTGACATGACTACTGGAAAAACCCTTCTTCTAACCTTGGCTAGGCAGCAGGCAGGGCTGATTTACAAGTGCTCCTAGACTTGACCGCCGCTTTTGATACAGTGGATCACGATATTCTTATTTCTCATTTAGAGCACTGGGAGGCTATTCGAGGTTTAGCCCTAGAATGGTTTCGGTCTTACCTTAAGGATAGATCCTTTTGTGTGAAGCTTGGCGATGCTGTGTTTTCTTCTGAGCCCCTTTTGTATGGGGTTCCACAAGGCTGAGTTCTTGGACCTCTTCTTTTTTCCCTTTACCTTCTCCCACTCAGCTCTATACTTAGGAAACACAGCATCTCCTTTCATTTTTATGCAGATGATAGCCAGCTTTATTTACCAGTTAAAAAGGCGAACTCTTGTGTTAGGACACTGCTTGAATGTTTCCATGACATTAAATCTTGGCTTGCTTTTAATTTTTTGAAGCTGAATGAGGAGAAGACCGAGGTGATAGTGTTTGGCCATTCTGCTGGGTCATCCTCTATTGACTTGGGCTTTTTGGCTCAATACAATAAGAAAAATATTTCAAATCTGGGTGTTAAGATGGATTCTGACCTGACATTCCACGGCCAAATTGCAGCTGTCATTAAATCTAGTTTTTTTCAATTAAGACAGTTGGCCAAAGTAAAATCTATGGTCTCTAGATGGCACTTTGAGTTGCTTATTCATGCTTTTATCACCTCCCGACTGGACTACTGCAACACATTGTATCTGGGGATACAACTTCCGGGTTGCAAGCGAGAGCAGACATCTTTACTGCTCCTCTTGTCTGTTCTGCACTTCCAAGTCTTTGAACAAACTCTACAACTATTAAAATGCCTCAATAAGGGAGAAGAGCTAATAAATCAGAAGCGAATGAGGATATGGAGGCAGAAGAAATGTATCACAGAGCGG